AAAGACAGGATATGTGATTTTTAAATCAGATCTTGCTCCTTGGACAGCAATCTGTTAAAATAAAAGTGATATGGATTCTGCCAGTTTGATGCTCACTGTATTGTTGAGGTCCTCTAGCTGATTAAGAGCAGGTTTGCTTTATAGATAGAAAAGGCCACACTACAGATTAACTATCATTTCCCCTATTGCTTAAAAAAAAAAGGAAAGAAAGAGAAAAAGCAAAATTTTGAGGAAGAAACGTAAAGGAAAAAAATTAAAACTTTTTAGGTGGCTGAAGTTTTCTGACACATTTTTGGTGGAAAAACTGTCAAGAAAAAAAAAGCACAATGCCCTGTACAGATAAAGTCATAAGAATCAGTGACGACTAATTTGCTGCTGAGTCAATGGGTGTGTTGTGAATTACAATGTAAAAAGGAGCTTCACGCCATTAGTTCATAAAGTCAGTGATTGAAGTATGAAAAGAGACTGCTTTCATGAAAGCGGTTTAATTATTAGTGAAAACTCGTCAAATTCTGACGGAATTGGGTGGCTTTAAAACAGGCTCCAGTAAAACCTCAGATTGAGAAATTGCTTAGAAGTATTTGATATTTCAGGTTAGAGTATCAGACCTAGGTCTTCTGAATCAGACTCTCTAGAATATTAATGGGAGTTATGCCATCAACAAGTTAGACCTTAAACTACTTCAGAGTACTACAGTCTACATTTTTGCATAAATTTCATTGACTCAACACACCTCACTTGAGTTTGCATTTAGCAATTAATTAACAATTATTTTCCTCAGGCACTGTTTTTAGAGAGGAAACATGACTGTCAAATGGAGCAGCTCAAACACTGTCTATGCCTTATTCTGATAAAACACTTCTCTTGTGAAAATAAGAGCGGGCACATCTCTGTCTCAAACTGTTTAGGCAACAGGACTATAATGGCAGCATTTGCTGCTTGACCTTAGAATGAGCTTCCTGCTGGCAAGGTCCAACAAAGATCATTTGCACTGAATTCCTGAAGGATGCTGAAGTGTTTTATTAACAGATTTTAGGATCTACATAGGATATTAATAACCTCACTTATGAAAGTGCAGCTACTTCTGGGGTGAAACTCGGCAGCCATTTAACATGACAAAACTATGCAAGACTTAGGATGGTTCAAAATATCCAACAGGAATCTAGAACACACCTAAAGCTATTTCTTCTCTCCGCTCTTTTGATCAACAGAAACTCCTCCAGAGAGAGATAAAAGGGTGGATTTTTCTTTTTCTTTCAGATAAATCATTCGGTATTGTAACAGCTTGCCAATGTTCTTTGTATGGTTGGGTTTGAGTAATATTCCTTTGGTAGATTTCTGGAAATTCCTAGTGCCCATTTGAAATCACCACTTCAAAGTCAAATATATTATCATGTTTAAAAGTAGTATGCTCAGTGACTTCATAAACAGTCCTGCAGTTGTAGGTAAAACAATTAAGTTGAAAGATTTAAGAAACCAGAAAAAAGCCACAACATACATACTAATTAAACAATTTAAAAAATGGGCTAATTGTGGCCTAAAACTAGAACAGAAGTATGTAATGTGGCTGCTTAGTAAGCTAATCTTGTTTTTAAGTTCACAGAATACAAAAGTAAGAGTTAATATATCATATTCCCCCTTGATAGCATCCTCCATTCCTCACTTTGTAAGACCCTAGGCAAAAGACCCTAGGCAAAAACATTTCCTCTCTAACCATCAACATTGCAACCTCCACATTATTAGCTGATCACAATGGTGGCTGAATGATCTGAGGCGTGTCCTGCCAATCTTTCAAAAGCCTTCTGTTTTTTCTCAGCTCACTGCGAATATCAGCAGCAATCCAGACGCCAGCATATGTAGAATACTGGTACCCACCTTCTTGCAAGTACAACCAAGTACACTATCCCCATCCTAAAATAACTTCACTGGCTCTTCATTCATTTAGACTGTAACCTTTCTGGGGAAAGAACTGCCATTTTCTTCTGTGTTTGTACAGGTTGTACCTCTCTAGTCCGGCACCCTCGAGACCCGACCGGTTCTGAATGAGAGAATTTTCTGGACCATGGGTGGTCAATATTGTCTAGCAGCATTACCAACACTTCCAGTGCTTACTGTGCTGTTAGAGGACATTTAGGGGTAAATTAGAGGTAAATAACAGCACAGAACACTAAGAGCTAAGACTGGTGGCTGTAAACAAACTTCATGGGATCATGGGAAACTTGGCCACACCCAAAAAACTGGACATCTGACTAACATCATTCTGGATGATGGATGTTTCTGGTTGAGAGAGTTCTGGATTAGAGAGGTTCAACCTCTACAGCTCCTCACACAATGAGGACTCTGGCTACCAGTGGGGCTTTACAACAATAACAATTAATTAATCTAATTCATTAATTACTTTTGTTGAACACTAGCCTCCTTGACTTCTAAATCATCTGTGATCTTGCGCCAACTTCTTAGCGCTGTCTCTTACTTGCTATTCCCCATTCTCCTCAGAGAGCACGTTTATTCCTTTCCTCAGGGCTCCTCCACACAACCTGGCGCAGTTGGCATGACAGCCATTTTCTCAGCTGTTCTGCCAGTTAGTTAGCCTTGCCTACATGAGGACAAAGACCAGAATAGCTGTATCACAAGAGCTGTTCCAGAACAGCTCACTGTACAGATGATCTTGTTTCAGAATAAGAGCACCTTTTTCTGATTTAAATTAACACCACTTTGGAAGCAGATGATGCTAAACTGGAAAATGGCACTTTTCTAAAATACAAGCGTCCATATGGGGAATAGCTATTATGCTTTCAATTCACACCCTATCATAATCCAAAATAATTTTTCAGTCTAGCCCTTAGGTCTTTGTGCCTGGAACTTCTTCATTTTACTTTAAAGCTTGGCTAGCATTTCCCCTCACTGTACCACTCAGTATCTTTAATTTTTTTATTTCTGTAATTGTTTTTAATTTTGAAATGTTTAGTAGGGGATCTGTAAGAAAAGCTTTCTACACAATAAAATTGTGAAACCAAAGCAGCCTGAACTATATTCAAGGGATGGTCTTACAAAGACAGGGTACAATGACCACAGACGCTGGTAATATCAGTCAACAATTGCAATCATAAGGAAAAGAGTTGCACACAGTGCTGTTTTTCATTATAGGTTAAGACTCATCAATTTATCAAAGCCAATATGGTCTATTGCGTAGAATTACAACAATTTTAAGGATGTTAATTCTCTCTTTACAACTCAACTTAATCTTCCATCTAGGCTCTGGTGATCATGTACATCAATTTTCTTTTTAAAAAATATTTCTACTTAGACACTGTTTTGCAAAAGGCAACATCTCTGAACTACAAACTCTCTCAAGTCAAACTAACTGAATGAATGTGATTAAAAAGGCTAATGTTGCTAATCACGGAGTATTCTTTTTGTACTTAATAAGAATGTTTAATGCAAGCTGTTGCTTAAGTTTTTTATACTACTCTATCGAGCAATTGATGAGGTAATGCTAGCAGACAATGTTTGAGAAAAGTCAAGGATACTGGGACATTCCAAAAAACTTACTGTCTCCAGAGAACATTTTTTAACTCTGACATCAACTATCTAATACAAATCTGAATCCAGCAGAAATCTTCTGAATGTGTAAGTAATTTGATGCAAAATGATCTCCATGGCAGATGAAGTAGAAAAAACAAGCTTTGGCCCAAAGATTGCATTTGAGGAAGTCTTTGGAAATATCTTACTCAGCAGTAGTGTTGATCAAAGATAAAATAAACCAGCTTCGAATGGCTAATGTCAAAGAGACAATTAATAATTTCTAACCAGTAGTTTTTTTAAAAAAGGAATATTAAAAACAAAACATTCATGTTGAAGTGTGTTACAATACAGTCTCCCAATAAGAAACTCAGGAAGCCATAAAATTAGATCTGTTCCATCGGTGAACTGCCCAAGAACGTTACATCAGGCATTCCTATTTCTTTATATAACATTACTATTTCAAGTTTACACATTTAAATAGCAATTATTTCCAGACATTTCTAACCAGAAACTCTTCTTGAGGCAATTAAAAAAAAATACCAGAAAAGTTGATAACTATAAAAAGGTAAAAAAAATCCTGCCTATCAACCATGTGTCCTCAAAAATGACTGAAAGGCGTTAAGGAGCAAGCAAATACCCATCTTTAGAACGGATTTTGAGATCAGATTGTTAACATCTGATGTCTATCAGATGAAATACTGGGTTTAAACTATTGTTTAATAAACATGAAAATCACTTTTTCTAAGGTCAGAGCAGTCCGAACAAAGCATTAGAAAAGGTCTGCCACATTTATTTTGAGAACAAAAATGTTCCTTGTGAACAGTTAAGCACAAGTTATTGGTACAATATTAGATGATGTGCACATCATTTTTTCTATCAAAAACAAACTAGTCTGGAAAAAGAAAGGTAAATTCTCAAAATAGGAACAGTTGATCCCTGAATGGCTTGCAACTTTCTCTAATGAAAAATATGTGTTTGTAACAGAGAAAAATTACAATTCTCAAGTTTTCATCCTAACACTTTAAAAGGTATTTCATATTATAAAATGCATGGAATAGCTCTTCTAAGGGTCTCCATCTTTAGCAATATGTGAACACGGTGCATTTTAAGTAGTGACCGTTCATTATTATCTGATTGGGTGTCACAATATATCATCACAGAAAGCTACCAGATTATACTGCAGCTCTTCAGTGAGCAGTGTTGTCACTAATTCATAACAACAACATGGTGTGCACATACTACATCCATCCAAACATCAATGTTATTATGTCACTTGAGGGAGCTGAAACCTTTGGGATAAGAAATGACAGCTCAAGTAAGATCTAAACCAGCTTTGCCGGCTAAAGATTGTACTACTTGAGAGTAAAGCACTGCCTCCTTTACCATAAAGTTAACTTTCAAGCACACTAGATCAGACTCCTCTGTATTTTTCCACTCAGACACTGAAGGTATTAGTCAGTTATGGAATTACTCACCCAATTAGGGACACCATCTGCTCCACTATATGTTTGCTGAATGTTATAATAACGAACAGTTTCTGTAGGAAGGAAAGCATCACTTAGAGAAATGTTTAATCAAAAGGGAAGCAAGGACAATGGAATACAACAACTTATATTCTTTTCCGATTAAATGGCTTCTCTGCACTTACAGATAATTTCACCTTAACTTTTCTTTCAGTGACATTGGTTTTCATTGACCTTTTCAATGAAAGAGGCAGAAAAGAAAAGAGCTAGACACTTTAAAACTTGTATTCTATTTCCTTGTACACTGAATTTCTTGCAATGTTATTTCCAGCCAGCATTGCTAACTATTACATATCCTCCCTAAACTACATTCCCAGAAACTCAAGGTCATCAACTCCATCAGTGTTTTCATTGGGAGGTGAGGGGGAAGGAAACCACTCATAACTGTGCAGAAAGACAAATTTGTCCCAATCACAAACATACATGTGGGTAGATAAAATTCAAAATTTCATGGAACTGAAAGAGTGAATCTTTTTGGCTACAAGTTCTTATCCTCTAGAAGGTCAGTGTAAGGAACAAAGACCCTACCAACTCAGGGACAAAATAAATGAGACCATGGGTACCCACATTTGCCTATGAAAATTAAATTACTTCTCCCTTTAGAGGAAGTGACCTGGTTGAGATGATTGCCATAGATACTAAAAGTTAAAAATGTCAAGTAATAATGTATTTCAGTGACAGACAGATCTTATCCTCTAGAAGGTCAGTGTAAGGAACAAAGACCCTACCAACTCAGGGACAAAATAAATGAGACCATGGGTACCCACATTTGCCTATGAAAATTAAATTACTTCTCCCTTTAGAGGAAGTGACCTGGTTGAGATGATTGCCATAGATACTAAAAGTTAAAAATGTCAAGTAATAATGTATTTCAGTGACAGACAGATG